GATGCTTTCATTATTTACCGAGTGCTTACATGTGAAGTCTGTATCTGACTCTAAATTTTAGGATTTAATTTTCCTTATTTCTCATTTTTGAAGGTATGATGCTATTTTGTGCAGTAATCGATGAAATAAAGTTGTACAAATCATGAGCAATATATAAATGGTGTCATTAATGATTGCCAGATAAATTATGAATGATAAAGAATTTAGAATTGTGTGCTGTATTTCAGGGGACATACAGGATTAAGGTCCAGGCAGAAGATGGTGGTCCATCAACAGCTAAGGAATTCAAGGTGGAAGAATACGTCCTTCCACGTTTTGAAGTCACTGTGGTGCCACCCAAATATATACTGGGTACAGACACTGAATTTACTTTCACTGTATGTGCCAAGTAAGTATGACAGATGATAATGGGGTACTTCAAGAAAATACATTACCGAGATTAGATATTGAAATGTACAGTTTGATGAAAGCATATGATTTTTATTTAAAATATGAGTATATTTATTTCAGATACACTTTTGGACAGCCAGTCAAAGGCAATGTGACTTTGGTGGTTAACAATGGTGGATGGGGAAGTAGTAGGAAAAAGCACACTGTTACCAATAAGGTAAGTTGAAAAAGTGTTATTTTATAAAGTCAATAAAAAGATACCATACTGTAAACAAACTCCTAAAAACCACCATGAGTATTTTTTTGTATATATATATATATATATATATATATGTCTTACTTAATAACTGAACACTGAATTAATGTCTGTTTTCCACATCCAGATATCAGGCTGCAAAGAAATAAAAGTGCTAGCTGATGATATTGAGGATAGTGATTATTATGCAAGCAGGTTAAGTCTAACAGCAACTGTAACTGAAGATGGAACAGGTGAAGAATTCAAAGGTGAAGCAGTAGCTCCTATTGAACGCAAAGCTCTGGAATTTTTGTTTATTGGCAAGGAAGAGTACTGTAAACCAAATCTACCTTTCTCTGGAAAGGTATGCTGATCAGTTAATTTTGTATTATTCAAGCTTATTCACTTTCATTTTGAGAGTTATTGTGCTTAAAAAAAAAAAAAAAAACATTCCTGTTTAATTGTGAATTTGATACACAAGTTTTGTTAGTTTCAATTCAATTTTTTGCAGTGTTTCAATTTAATTTTTGACAATTTAGCTCTTATTTTATCCCTTTGTGCACATTACAAGTACATTTGCAGAATGCGACATGGTTCTTGAATATCTAATGTCTCATTTCTAGGTAAAAGCTGTGTTCCCAGATAAAACACCAGCTGCAAATGAACCTATGAATGTGTGTATTAGTGGACAATGCAGAAACATGAGTACTTCAGCTGAAGGCATTCTGGAATTTGTTATCCCAAAATATTCAGGTTCCAGTGTTGAGGTAAGGAAGTAGTGTTTCATTTATGTGATTTGGGGATGGAATAAGTATTAACCCGATGCCTTTGGGGAAGTTCTAAATGCAGTCTTGGCCTGCTGGTCCTGGACAAGCAAGACAAGGATTTCTGAATGCAGCATAAGCAGAGACATTTCACAAAAAAGTACTGCAGTTAATTAGTTACTGAATAGTGAATTTTCTCTTATGCAGATATCTGTTCTACATTAGATTTAGTCATGAGATGTAGCTTCATGAAATGCCTCCCTAGGGAGAGATGAGGGACATTACTGGTCACATAATCCTTTGTACATGGGTACTTGGTAAATTTAGTGGGCAGAAATGGTTCCACAAGTGTTCAGCCACTAAGGGGGCAATTAGTAGGCCTTATGTAACCTCTTTTGATTTTTTATTCTTGGATTTTTTTTTTTTTTTTTTTTTTTTTTATAATACTGTTAATATTGTTACTATTAAAACTTTATAAGGGAAATTAATTACATTTTGAGGAACTTTTGACTTGATATGAAGAAACATCTTAAGAATTATGCTCAAAGAAATACCAAATATGATATAATTAATTAATAACATTCCAGATAACATCCATCAATTATCCAAGAGTCAGAGGTTCAACATCAATGTGGATTTCAAAAATGTATGAATCAAGATATTCTCATCACTTGAAAAAATATTATTCTCCTTCAAATTCATCTTTGGTGATTCGTGTTCCTGGAAATCGTCTATCATGTAAAGTGTCTGGCCATGATCATGATATTCCAGTCCTTTTTGCTGCTGTGAATCAAACAAGGGCTACATTTACTGTTCAGGTATGTTGTTTTTTGTGTTACATTTTGACATTTTTTTCTTATGATAAGAATTGATTTTAAAAATTACATCCAGGTGATACTTGCATTTACCAATGATGTGCCAAAAGACAAACTTTTCATATACATTGTGTAATCCTCCACTGGTATTCCATAGGTTGTATCACGAGGTCAGATCCAGTACTCGAGTTCAGCAGAGTACGAGCTATCATCTGGTAACTTACCAATTAATGAAGACCATCTAGTAGAACCCTTGCCACCTCCCCCAGAACATACAGTTACTGGAGTTATTAACATTCCAATAAAGTTACCACACACAGCCTCACCCTCAGCCAAGGTTTGTATGAAATGAGGATTGCAAAAGTTGGATATGAATGTTACATGTGAATAACAGTAATAATATAGATAAATTTTCATATTTCTTCTATTATATCTTCATCTGTGTCATTTTGCTATTAATGTATATTCATTGTGATTAGTTCCTCTTTAATGATATGATTTTTTTTATATCATTGGTAATAGCATCTTATTTTTATTTTCATATATAATGAGTATTAATATGCAAATGTCTTCCAAAACCAAAAACTTCCAAGATCAGGACACCATGCTGCAAGTAGAACAAATAGGAAGCAGTTCTTGTTTAATGTTAAAGTTTAGTCTTAGATATATTATGGGATATTTTACGGAAAAAAGTTAAATGGATTAGATCATTGTCATAGAACATATTTGATTTTTTTTTTATGTATAGAGGTTAAACTAGGAAAACTTATGAGGAATATTTTGTAATATTGGGTTTTATCATTATGAATTGTTATAGTTTATGTTTTTGAAGTATCCTGAAAAAAAGTGTTAGCTGGTTTAGCTTTAATCATATGTTTTCACTGTAATTTACTTGTATGTCTGGATTTCTTTTCATGCTGATACAAGCTTTTTAGTTTAATTCTTGATAAATGCAGAATATATTCCATAGTTTAGACCTGTATGTTATAGAAATATTAGTTATCTGAATACTTTAAATTTCTCTTTAAATTACATAACTAAAAGCAAATTTCTAAAATCACATATTTGTCCCACCTTTTTGTTGTATCGACTGGTTGAATTTGTTGTTTATGTTGATATATTAGTTTTTCACTTTTACAAGAATTTATTACTTTGATTATTATTTTCATCTATCATCTGGTCTGAAATTATTTAATATTCCTCCGGCATCAAAGTCTTTATTGCTGTTTTATGTGATAACTTTGTGTTGCATATTCAAATCAGATAAGATAACCCCTTTTTTCCAGGTTGTTGTGTGGTACACACGTCCAGATGGTGAAGTTGTTTCAGACACTCAGATCTTTGACATAGAAAAATGCTTGGATAATGATGTGAATCTTGTATGGTCAGCTGCCAGAGTGCAGCCAGGAGAGCAGGCAACTTTAGATCTGTCAGCTGCACCACAGTCTATTTGCAGCTTAGGTAAGAGAAGTTATAATGAGTTGTGAGTATAAGCTTTACTCTCAAATGATTGGTTCATCTATTATATGATTTTTCATGCTTTAGAATATTTCATCTTTTATATCCTGGAAAACTAAGAGCAACAGAGTTGAGTAAAAGTATTTATACATGGATGGGTCCAAAAGTGCTTAACCACCAAGGAATAATTAGCAGGCCTCCCCTAATTTTCCCTTTCCTTGAGTTTTTGGGATTTGTTTTTGTTTTTTTTTTGCATTTGATAATGATGCGGGGTAAAGTATGAATCATATACATATAATCAGTCACTATGATGTCCAGTGCAGGGGGATATGTCCCCTGAAACACCCTCCTGGTGGGCTACTTCCTCCCAACCCCCTGTAATGTAAGATAGAGAATCCTCCAACATGCAGGAGTGCCCGATTCCGATCCTGTCCTACCATACATATGTGGTAGATTCTGTGTAGTCCAGGGTGCGAATTAGGGGAAGCAGCTTCCAATGGGGGGCTTGCACAGGGCACAGCCCCTGCATTTGATTGTATATTGACCAGGTACCATTCCTGCCCTACCCTGCTATCAGGGCCAAGATTGTGAGTATTGTGTTTTTTTGTGGCATATTTTCTATACATTTGTAGATGGTGAGAGGAATCTGTTGATACCAATATCATCATGTAGGCCATGCAAAGATATTGTGAATATTTGCCTCATAATGTTCATATTAATAGTAACCATATCAATATTAGGGACATTTAAAAAAAAAAAGAAATTCTGAAAATTCAAGGGAATGGGAAATCAGGTCAAGTCACATAAGGTCTGCTAATGGATTCCTTGGTGTCTGCAGGATACAGATAAAACAGGCAGCACCACTTCTGTCAAGCTTATTGAAGCCACATATGGAATTGACTTTTTCTTTGGAGTAATTGATGGCTGTTTATAGTATGGAACACTTTGTTATCATAAAGAAAAGAGTGGAATGTTTGCTATAAAACTGGTGATTATAACAATATTAAGTATATCTGATATTGTATACTGCATCACCATTTTCTAAATGTGAGGACATTATTAGCTCTGTCCCTTTTTTGCCCTGGTAACATACGCAATTTCTTTATGGCAGACCATGTGTTTCTTCTCTGTATTTTCTTTTAAAATAGCTCAGTAAAGACTGGTAAAAAAATAATGAGAAAACAAACAAACAGAAAAAAAGAAATCTACCAACTAGGATTTTCATTATGATGGATTGTCCTTTGGGTGACTGAGTGCTTTTGGTGCCGTCTCTGTGGAAACAAAATTCACAAAACAACAGGATCTGACAGGACAAGATCTGCCCATTCTAAACCCATGCCCTTCAGGGTTTAGAATGTTTTCTTGTTGTAGGTACTGTACTTTTTTTTTTTTTTTTTTTTTTTACTAATTTTTCAGATAATTTCATTATGTGACATGTTAGTGTTACTGGTCTGTAATATTTTGTCTGACCTTTATTTCCACCATTGTAAGTAGGAATCATATTTCCCTCTTTCAGTGGGCTTGGGATCAGTCCTATGCTATAGTTTTTCATTACATTTTTAGGTTTTCTTTAAGTTGATTTACCAAATTGCAATTTTTGTTTCTTTGAAGCTTCAGTTAGGTGGATATCAATATACCTTGTAATTTCTCAATTTTCTTGAGCTCGTGTTTTTCCCTATTAGTTTCCATTTTTGTTTTTCATTCTGCAGTAGTTTAACCCTAGTTGGTCTTGGTCTCTAAGTTTCTCTTAGATATTTACCTTCTCTAAAAGCGCTTTCCATCTAGTTGTATATATATATATTTTTTATTATCACCTTTTTCTTCAACATTGTATATGAATAGTCTTTTTGCTTAAAATATCTCTTCTTTTCATATTTTTCTATTTTTGCTTATTTTTATTTCTGTTTGCAGGCATGATTAACAATTTGCAATTCAGCCTCCTCATCTATTGTTAATTGCACTCTGTCTTAGCTATTCATTTGCTTTTTATTTTGTTTGAATGTTTCAAAAGTTTCCCATTTTCTTTTTGTTTTAGCTTACCTGCCTGGTTCTTGTAATTTTCTTTTTTTGTTACTTTCTCTTTAACATTACTTGCATCTTGCTATGCACTATTTTTATCCTGCCTTTCATACTTTTTAGTTTTTACCTGAGGTATCTTTTGCTTGTTTTTTTGATATCTTGTTTCTTTTCACAAATTTTATTTTTCTGCAACTTACTTATATCAAAACACTAAATCTTAAAATTTTCCATCATTTTTCAAAGTTTTCTTTCTTTTTTGTGGATCTTATGATCACTCACTGGATCCATTTTTTTCATATCTTACAGATTATTGTTTGTTTTTTTTTGGTTACTTGTAGCCTTTTAATGGCTCTCTTTATACACTATTCATAAACACAGCATGCAAATAAACGAAAATATGTAGAATGTAATAATTTCCATGGCAAATTAATATATTTGCTCCTTTGCCCAGGGGGCCTTAGTGAGTGAATAAAACTTTGGCAGGTGGTGTTTAATACCTTTTCCATGAGACTTACCTTTATTTCATAGAGATGTGTTGTGGATAATTCTGTTGATGGATAGGGATTCACAACCAGCATTAGCTAAATTTTGAACCTACTCTAAAGCTTCCCCCATAACCTATTGGATCTGGATGCTTCATGACAGTCACAAGGCCCAAAATACAGGCTGCTTTGACGAGTGTGGGGCTTACAGGTCAGGTGCACGTGAACACTTTTGTGTAGTGACAAGACTCGATGCCTCTCCTTTGCAATGTTATATTTTTCTTTGTATGCATAAATATTCTTAGCTTTTTTGCCATTTTCCCATGTCCATATTTGTTATTTGATTTGCTTTATCAGATGGTAATAGACTGTTTTCCATGCACAGACTCCATATATCTCACTACTCCATATCTCAGTGCAAAAATGATAACAATAAGTAACATTGTGTTCTCTGTTTCATTTTAAAAATGATTCATGTTAAATTTTCTGTAATACAAGTCATGGCAGCCAGGAATAGGATGATGAGCATGGAAATAGTATCCTCCCTGGAGCTGGCACTTCCAGTCATGGATCACAGCCACTACACTCCACACTTGTTTATCAGTGGAAATTATGCAAAAGTCGTTTCCTAAATATGTCAAATAATCCTCCAAGAGGTTTGTGCACTTGTGGTGGTGGTCTTCCCTGACACCCCGGTCTTCAGTCAAAATGCTCACAATGGCAAGTTCGCATCGCCCTGGCCCACAGCCAAATTATCCCATGACAGCATGGTCACTTCACTCACTCCTTAAGCCAAATTTTTCATGATGTGATGGTCAAGTCAACCAAATGATCTGGTTAAATGATCTTATTGATTAATATTGATAAGTATTAGCATCATGGTAATACTCTTCAGTATTTTGTCATAATGAATACATGTACAGTTAAAGAAAACAAAAGTTACTAATGTTTGTGATTTGATGTTTACTTTTAGGTGTGGTTGACAAAAGTGTTGAATTACTGTCATCTGAGAATGATCACCTAACACTTGAAAAGGTATTTGATATTGTGGAGAATGCCATGGTCAAGGATTGGGAGCTAAACCAGGCAAATGACTATGAGTACTGCAGAAAAAAGTTTAATCAGGATGACAATAGTAAGTATTCATTAAATTTTTATATGAAGATGGAAAAGTTATGATGTAAAATCTTGTATTACAAAAATCCAACATGAAATCTGTTGCAAAAATTTATGTACAACATTGATTTTTTTTTCAGTATCCAGACGCTCTGTGCATGTCAGTGACAACGTTTTTTCAAAATTCAAACGCTCTTTCTTCCCAATATTTTCCACTGACTACGTTGATGCTCTCAAAATGTTTGATGTAAGTAAGCTACTGTTGCATTCATTAAGTATTTATGAATATATATATGTATATATAAATTTATATGTGTATATGTGTATGTATATGTATATATATGCACATGTACACATATATAAACGTGTGTGTGTGTGCGTGTGCGTGTGTGTGTTTGTGTGTATTTATATATATGTATATATATGATATGTATCTTCTTTTTCTTTTATAGGGTTTTAGACTTCTTATGTCCTTATTCCCAGGATCTTGTTTCTTTGGGTCTTCTTTCTGTTGTTTGAGGGTTTCCTTCTGTTATTAATTTGGTCTCTGTTTCATATAATGTTGATTATTATTGTTCTTTGTAAGAATACTTTCATGTGTCTCAGTATGTAGTATTTCTTTGCAAGAAGTTGGCTTTCCCCTGTTATGAGTAGAGATACTTGGTCAGTTATTTTGATCTTTTTTAGTGCCTCTAGTAATTTGGTTCTTTCAGAGTGAAATCTTTGGCATTGTAACATTAAGTGCTCTATTGGTTCTTCTAGATGTTGGCACCATCTGCTGTTTGGTTCAGTTTCTCAATTTAATCTGTTTAGGTGTGTTTTCAGTCTATTATGTTTAGTTAGTATTCTTGTAAGACATATGTCTAATTTTCTGTTTTCTGATCTATACCATGGTTGTGGGGTGTTATCCTTGAGGTAATTGGTTTTTGTGATCAGGGTTTTTTGTAGCTATTCTTCCCATTGTCTTTTGATTTTATCTTTTTTGTCTTTTACTTTATTAGTATCTTGGGTGATGGTTATGGAATTTTCTAATTCATGAGCTTTCTTTACTGCAAAATCTACTATTTCATTTACAGTTATGCTTTTATGAGCTGGGATCCATTGTATTGTGATATTTTTGTTTTGTTTTGTTGAAGTGTAAATTATTTTTTGTTTCATATGTGATTTGTTTATAGTTTTTGGGTTTGGGATTTTTTAGTGTTAATATTGCTGACAGTGATTCTGTTAAGATTAATGTGTTTGTTAGTTTGTTATGCTTTATATAATTCAACCCGTGTTTTATTGCATATAATTCTGCTTCTATGATTTGAGTGTTTTTTGGTAATTTCCAAACTGTTGTGAGTTTTTTTTCTATATAAATTGCTGCTGATGTTGAGTTTGGTTCTTTTATTTTTGATCCATCTTTGAATATTTTATGATGGTTTTCATATTCTGTGTTTATTAACATTTGCAACTGTGTCTTAATTATTTCATGAGATGTCTTTTTTGAAGTTGTCCATAAAGTTTGTTACTAGTTTATGTGAAAGGTCATACCAAGATGGTATTGGGGTTATATTTTGAGTCTCATTTATATTTATGTTGATTCTAAGTTTTTTGCAATTTTCAATAACTTTGTGAATCCAGGAGTTATTATCTTTGTTGTGATTATATTCTCTAATGTTTTTTACTCTTAGCTCTTTTACTGGCATGTTCTTGCTGTATGCAAGCTAATTCATTTGCTCTGTCGCTTATTGAAGGTTTGTTTGTTAATACTTGGAATAATATTATTGGGGTAGATTTGAAGCATCCTGTTGATATTCTCAGAACCAATTCAAGGAATATTGAAATCAGGTAAGGCTGAGCCATCTATGTGTAGAGACATTTCACAAAAAAATACAAAAAATTGAGCACAGCATTTTGCCCATTTTTTATTCATTTTCCCCAGTGGCAATGGGTTAATAGTGCATCATGATTTAGTATTTATTCCCATGTTTAATATTTTAAGGTTGCAATAGTGCAATGTCTAAATTAATTAGCATGGCCCCATGAAAGATTCTGATATCAAGTGAACTTCGAGCCCTTGCATTTAAGAACTGGAGTTCCCCTGGGGTAATACTGGAATGAACGTACTGTGGCGAGTCAGTGGTAGGTGGGTGGTAGTAAGCGGTAATACTTTACCAGCTCGTTCATAAAACCCGTAGTCCACAGAGTCTATTAACGTGAAGATGAAATGAAAGCCTGGCCATAAAGTGAAGGTAAAATGGAAATGAAAACAAAGCCAAAGAAATAAAACATGTAAGTAAACTCATGCGAAATATCACCGAAGATGTAAAAGGTAAACAAAACAACTAAGAATGCGAATGAAAACACTAAATTGGCATGCTAAAACTGTTTGTGTGGACAACCAATTATTAATGGAGACACCTGCAAAATATGCATTTGGTTTGTGAGGCGTTTAAGAACGGGCATACAGCATAAAATAGATATATGGATAAAAATGAGCAGCCAACTCCTTATCTTTTAAGTATAAAAGTGTGACGGTTGTGGTATGTCACTATAAGTTCCTTGGGTTGGGAAGGCAAAGAAACACCTTGGAGCAGACTAATAGGTATGCTGCAATGTTACACAAAGACAGGTCCCTCAGCTTACACACACACACACACACATATGTATATATATATATAAACATATATATATATATGTGTGTGTGAGTATCTATGTAATATATATATGTACACACACACACACACACACACACACATGCACACACACACACACACACACACACACACACACACACACACACACACACACACACACACACACACACACACACACACACACACACACATACACACGCACACACACACACACATACACACACACACACACACACACACACACACACACACACACACACACACACACACACACACACACACACACATACACACACACACATGCCCACATATATAAATATATAGTGTGTGTGTGTGTAATAGATATATATACAGTAAGTCCCCAACTTATGAACATAATGGGGACCAAGAGGCTGTTCGGAAGTTGATTTGTTTGTATGTTGAAAGTCGGGTCTCCATAGCCTTTTTTCCCATTGTTTTAAAGTTTTGTTTACATTAAGAATACCTGTACATAAATCCCAATAAGTACAACATACCTTATACAGTACCTGCAATATGTAATGCTTTTAATATTTGATGGTGATTCATATAACTTAAATATAGAAACATAATTTATTCAAAAAGAAAATATATTGTAGTGGTGATGGCTGGTGAACCGATGGATAAGAAGGCGTATGGTCAGCTGAGCAGGGGAGGACACAACCAGGGCCGTCACACAACATGAAGCCTGCGTCCGTTAGACCGGGGATGACGCCATACCATACTGAGAAAGATTGATAAACATGGATAGATTAACATGGCGTCGATCAATGGGGTTAAACAGGTGTCTATAAATCTGGGATGACTGTCTGTATATCAGGGTCAAACAGCTGCCATGGTTACTACCAGGTTACAGACTCACATTTAGGTTACACATTTTAACGTTAGGGCCATGTCAGTTACATACATGAAAGTATTTCACATGAAATACAAAACAGAAAACATTGTATACTTGAAATAAAAATTAGGAAACTCGTAAGATTTACCTTGTTCACTTGGATTTGTTTGACGTTTCTTGGCACTTCCACTGGCTTCACTGTTTATTTTTCTCTTCACATCCGACATTTTTGATGGATTGATGCACAGGTAAAGCGAATTATGGCACAAAAATGGGTGGTACACGAAGACACAGTGAACAAATGCTTTTGTGTTTTGGTGGGAGGGGAGGTGAGTGATGTGCAGAGCTGAGTGAGCGTGGCAGCACCACGATGTGGCAGACTCGTGAACTATATTCGTGTCTGGGAAATTTGAAGTTTGCTAGTATTTTTCAAACAATTTTTTAAAGTATTCAAAAAATTTTGTTTCTATGTATGGAATATTCGTAAGTAGAATGTTCTTAAATAGGGGACTATCTGTATGTACATATACATATACATATATATACACACAAGTACACACACACACACATACCCACACATATATATATAGTGTGTGTATGTGTGTTTATGTGTGGGTGTGGGTGTGTGTGGGTGCCTTGCTGCCTATACATGGATCAAAACCTGGACATTAATATTACTTGAGTGGAGCCTCCCCTAGATGTATGACTTTAAGCCCAACTCACATGAACTCTCATGTTTTGTGTCAAGACTCCTTACCTCTCCTTTACAGTGTTAATGTGACTATTTCTGCATAAACAAATTTTTTATTTGTCATTTTCCAAGGCCTGTATTTGTTATTTCATATGATGTATTAAGATAATAGACAATTACCCTTGCATAGACTACTTTTCATCTCTCAAGGTAGTCTACAACACTGCAATAAGAATAACAAAAAGTTATATATTTGTATCATTTTAAGATATTTTTGTATTTTTTCTGTAACACATCCTGCAATGCTGGCCATGATTGGCAGAAAGCATCCTATGCATGGAAATACTTTCCTCTCGGAAGCAAACAGTCTTCCAGCTATGACTCATGTATGGTAGATTCCTCACTCATTTACTAGTGGAAATAATGTAAGAGCCCCTTCCTAAATGCTCACCGAGTCTAATCTTGCTTCAAGAGCTCTGTGCACTTGTTGCAGGTCATTCCCATCACCCTAGCCTTCAGCTAAAAGGAAAACAAATTACAAAAAGAATAATAGCCCCCCCCCAAAAAAAAAGAAGGAAAAAAAGAAACAAACATAAAGTTATATGTTCTTTTGTCCTGAGGGTCTGAGTTGCATTAACTGCTGTTAGTCAATCCCAAAGTTACCTCAATAAATCCTTTACACCTTTGTGGTTAAGAAGTTGTAGAGACATAATGGGTATTATATGTTTCTGATAACATTGGGTCAAAATGTCTGTGGTGTCTTATTTTTGTTGAGGTTATAGTTTTTTTAATGGTAGTTTTATTCATTAGTGAGTTCACTGTTTTTCGTTGTTGCATGTGCTTTATCTTTTATGTTTTAAGATATTTTTCACAAAATATAGTATAGTATTGTTATTGTTATACGTTTCTGCTCACAGTGCAAAAATTAAGTTGTTTTATTCCATTTGCAGAAATCAGGATTGCATGTCTTGACAGACTTGATTACAGAGACGCGACCCTGTGAAAGGGAGAGTAAGTGTGATATTTGTTTTTTAAGCTTTTATATAGGTTAACATATCTCATGTTAGATACATATGATTTTTTAAAGATTAATTTCCACTTAATATTCTTTTGTTGTAGGAAAAAGTACTCAAAAATATTTTTTTACATCATTTGTTTAAATGGTATATCATGAAAAGTATGTGCTCTTTTCCAATAATTGTATTTTTTCCCCAGTTATTTCACCTTGAATAGGTAAAAGAATTTCATGGGTTATTTTTTTGTTCTTTTCATGATTTTCATTTTTTTTTTATGGATATTGCATCATGGATCCACATTCATAGTCTAAATCTTCCCCAAATAGTAAACATACATGATTTACCATTATTCAATACGTACAGATTTACAGTGCAAACCATTAAAAGAAATGTGTTTGGTTAGTGAGTCATTGGAGTTATTTTTATGTTTAGTTCTTTTACAAACTTGTGCAAGTGATGTGTTAATGAGTACAAGGTAGTATACATGGAAAATATGCAGGTCAGTATTAATGCAAAGAAAGTATATAAATCCTAAAGGAATTAAATCTTGCCTACGAATGAAAATTGTTCAAAATATATCCACTGAGAATGAAAAATCTCTTTTGTAAGGTAGATACCAAATTCAAATTGCCTCTATCAACTTTCACATAGATATGAGAAGGGTTTCCTTGGTGAAAGAATTGTTTATGAGTAACCTCATTGGATTTTTATGTGTTGGAGGAGGGTTAGATACTTTTTAGCAGTTATATTTTTATTTTAACAGATTTATGATGGGAATAGAGGATATCAGTTAATAGCAAGGGTCATTATGATATTCTAAATGCTTTAGCTAAGGACGTGCTACAAAGTAAGTATTTTAACTGGTTACATATTTCCATTACTTTGATATTCACAAATAGATTGCAACACATTATGGATTCATTATGTTATTAGATTTGATAAAATGTCAGATGAACTCTAGTGATGAATGATGGGAATAAAGGATATCAGCTAAAAGCTAAATGTTAAAACTGATGTTGTATTACAAGTATTTGAACTGATTGTGTATTTCCATTATTTTGATGTTTACAAATAGATTGCAACACATAATGAGTTCAGTATTTAATTAGGTTTAATAAAATGTTAGATGTGGTTGATAAACTTCTAGTTAAGTGAACTGATTATAAGGCATAGAAGGTCATAATTAATCATAGTAGGGAGCACAATTTGGTTGTAAACATTACCATAGAAGATGCAGCTCTTTGAATGTATTTCAGGTCAGAGAGGGAAAAATAGATGACATTTTCTAATAAAATTCAATGACTTCTCAGTGACAGAAAAATAAATAGATATTCAGGATTATTGGTCAGATTCCAGTTCTGACATCGTTACCCAGAAAATAGACAATACATGAAATTGATAGATTAACCAATACAAAAAACTTTGCAATTATTAAACATTTATTGGAAATTGTTAGAGATAAAATATTTACTATTAGTGATAACAGCCAATCAAATGTCACAGTTCAAACCACTAATCAGACCATTTGATTCATATTACTTAACACAATTAAGCTGGGATGGCTGGGATTTTTTTTGTTTATTGAATCTGATATATTTTATTGATTTGCTCTGCAAATGCTGAATCACCAAGGGGTCAGTTCTATTTGGCTTTTTAGTTGATGTTTGGAAAGGTTCTTAATTTCTAAATGCTGTTATTTAAAAAAAATAACATAATAACAATCATAATGGCAAGATTGATAATAACATCATTATAGATAGCATTAGAAAATATAAAAATCTTAAGGACTTCAGGAAAAGTTTATCTATGTCGATCAAATACCTTGAACATTCAAAGCCATCCAGAGTGATGTGAATAAAAAAATACAACTAAACTTTTAGAGCTCTTGCAAACCTCCCTGGCAAATTATTATCAAATAAGGAACCAGTCCAAGTTTAGTCTTGGTGTGAGCATGAAAACCACAGTAATTGCTTGAGACTGCTATTATTGTTGTCTTATTTATGACATGAAAGAACATTTAGAAAAGTGCCTAGATTATGGTTATTTTACTTTTTCCATAGATAGGTAGGTCTGCTGTTTTTGGTGTATTCTCATGTATGGTGAAGATTTGTATGTTTGTTTATTTTTACAAGAACATTATCATTAGTTACATAGAATCAAATTATTTTTGGATTAGAGTGGTTTGAAATTATGCAATCTTATAATATATCTAGTTTGTTGATAAAATGCACTGTGATATTGGTAATGTTTTAGTAAAGAAAATGAAAAGAGCAAAGTTCTCAAACTTATCCTTTTTTTATAAAGTATTTATGATTCAAGTCAATCACCTTGTGTAAGTTTTTGTTTAGTGTGGATAAAAAGTGAGAAACATTGGTTTATCACATCTGGAATAGTAATACAAATAAATGTATGAATGTTATTAATTTTGTGCAAGGGATGATGATTGTATTTATGAACTAACAGTTTAAGGCTGCATATAGCTGAATTATGTGTGCTAAAAAGGAAATACACTTATAAAGTAATGAGATTTCCATTTGATGAGTCCCAGTATGTCTTGCAATTATCTTTTTTATGTAGGCTTTGATATTATGATGTTGATATTCAAGGATTTTTTATTCTTTAGATTTCCTAGTAACTGCAATGCTCCCTTTACCAACAACAGTCCCAATGACTGTAGTGACTACAACTACTATTGCTCCAACTGCGCTGCCCCCTTTACCAACAACAGTCCCAATGACTGTAGTGACTACAACTACTATTGCTCCAACTGCAGTTGTAGATTCATCACATCTGAACTATGATAATCCTCCTCCAGCAAGCAGGATATTCTTTCCAGAAACTTGGCTCTGGAATCTTGTGAATCTGTAAGATTCCTTGTTAGGTTTG